CAACTGCGGAGTCTTGGGGGGCGTCTTCTCAAGTCGGATCCCGGCCGCTCTGCAATATGCATCAAATGGGCCACAATACTCACCACCATTGTCAGATCGGACCACCTTCAATTTCTTGCCAGTCTCCCTTTCAACCATTGCAAGGAATTCTTTAAAGTATTGGAGTACCTAGTCTTTAGACTTTAACAAATAAACCCACACTTTGCGGGAATGGTCATCAATAAATGAAACAAAGTACTGAGCTCCTCCAAGGGATCTCTCTGACATAGAGCAAACATCAGTATGGACGAGGTCTAGAATATACCTGCGTCTTCTAGGTTGATCCGATTTCACGAAAGAAACCCGGTGCTGCTTTCCAGCTAAGCAGTGCGTGTAACTCTCCAACGCTTGGCCTTTCAACCCGGTCAGTAATCCTTTCTTGTGCAGGATTTGGAGCCCTTTCACACTCATGGGGCCGAGGCGCTTGTGCCATAGCTCCAAGCTAGGTCCATCTTGGACAGAATTGGCTTCTCTGCCATTGGTCTTTCCTTGCATCACGTACAAGGAGCCTTCCTTCTTACCTCGAGAAACAACCAAGTTTCCCTTGGCCAATTTCCATCTAACACTACCGAAGTAGTTCTCTAACCCGACATCGTCAAGTTTGCCTACCGAGATTAGGTTCAATCGCATATCAAGAACAAACCTTACATCTTTCAGCACAAGTCGACACCCAACATCTGTAGTCAGGGTCACATCACCGACACCAACAATGTTGCTAGTCACTTGATTTCCCATCTTCACGACTCCAAAATCACCACCTCAGTAAGAGGAGAAAAAACCTTTATGTGGAGTAACGTGGAAGGAGGCACCAGAGTCAATAATCCAGGAGCAGTCATCATATGCGACATTCAAATAATTATCCTCACCAAGGAGGAATATCTCGGCATGCGAGTTGGCATCCACCGTAGTGGTGCTCTTGTCTTCCCTCTTCTTGGGAATAATATGATCCAACTTCGCAGAACCGTTCTTCTCGTCATTCTGTAGGGTCCAGCAGTCTGGCTTCTTATGGCCTGTCTTTTCACAGTAGAAGCACTTCAACTCATATTTTGGCTTTAACCGACCTCTGGACTTTCCTCTTCTATCACGATCTCGACCCCAGCTCTTGCTTCTACCCCGGGAGTCATATTTCCCTCTGTTCTCTGCAACGTTGGCCTCAGACGTGCTCGAAATACCTCATTCTCTTCTCCTGACTTCTTCATTCAGGAGACTATCTGTTACAACATCCATCTTCAATTTTCCATCTGGAGTCGAACTACTCAAGGTCACCACCAGAGTATCCCAGCTTTCTAACAGCGAGCTCAACAGTAGCAAAGCCTGCATCTCGTCATCAATTTTCATCTCAGCCTTTGACAGCTGATTCACAATACCTTGGTAGGTGTTAATGTGTTCAATCATGCTCATGCCGTCCTTGTATTCCAGCTTCACAAGTCGGCGAACCAGGTGTGCTTTGTTCCTAGGAGTCTTCTTTTGAATCATGGACTCTAACTTTGTCCACAACTCGTACGCGTTCATGAACTCGGATACATGCTCAAAGAGGCTTTTGTCAATATATTTTCTAATTGTAGCTACCGCCTTACGACTCTGAATCTCCCACTCCTTATCGGTCTTGCCTGCCGGTCTCTCATCAAGGATAATGGGCTCATGTAAATCTTTATAGTAGAGATGATCTTCCATCCTCGGTCTCCAATAGGTGAAATTGTCTGTGGTCAGCTTGAACATATCTCCACCATGGGTTATGCCACTGGTCTCCATCTCGTCTCCCTTAGAACCCGTCGAACTCAGGCTCTGATACCACTGTTGGGAACTCGGTTCCCTCAAGTCGGCTCACAAGCCTTTTCGTGGAAGTCAGTCAACAAAGATCCTGTATCTCGGATCTCGGCAATATTACCTCGGCCTGAACTTCACCAGGTCAGGCAGCGCAGCGAAAAAGCAAAATTATAAAGGGGAGAGAGAGAAAGATAACACAAGCAGTTTTAACGTGGGAAAACATTCTCCAATGAAAAAGTAAAACCCACGGGAACTAATCCAGATCAAACGTCCACTATGAAAATAATGGATACAAAGAATCAAAATACACCAATGTGGTGGTTAACACAACCTCTCCAACAATGGTGATAATCAAACTTCCCTAGAGATGTTTCACTCAAAATCTCTCTAGAGATTTCTCAAAATACAAAGCTCAAAGCTTTGCTCACAAATCTCTCAAATATTTTTTCTCTAATTCTAACCTAGCCTCCACCCACAACTAATGAATATGTAGAGGAGGTGGAATCTAGGGTTTAAGGTTTAGGGCTTTTAGAAAACTCCTTAATGAACTTGAGTTTAGCATTGAAGGAGGAAGCCCAACATATGATATTCTCTATTATATGACAGAAGTAATGAAGAGGAGTGAGGGAGAAAAATTATGCTTTACTTGCTATAAAGTGAAAGGTTGATGACATGATTGTTGCCAGTGGGATTATAATGCAATCATTAATGAACAATTGTATAAGGAGCATGTTTGTTTGTAAGATAAGAACCTTTGAAGATTAATGTTAATCCGTGAAATTTCTCGGTGTTATAGTGATGATGATAAACATGGAAGAGTTGGTAAAATCGAAAACTCTACAAGTAGTTATTTTTGTGTGTATATAACAACGATTTTGTTACGTGGTATTGTTAAAAAAGTATATTTTTTGAATTTTTATGTTTTTAAAGAGTTTTTGAGAAAAAAAATTGTTTGATAACAAAATCTTTATTTCTATGCAAAAAAAGAGAGTTTTTAATTAACAATGTGTATTAAATATATATAGCACATTATACGATATTTGTATTTAATAAATAATGTGTTACGAAAAAACAAAACATGTTTTATCGAACACTATTTCTTATCAATTTTGTTCCTAAAATCAAAAATATAAAAAAATATTTATGAAAATGTTGTGATGCACACCGTTTAAATCAGTACTGAATGTTTACCCAAAAAAAAAGAGTCAGTAGTGAATAATCAAATCGTGAAGCCAGCAAGGAGAGATGCACAATATTATAAATAATAAATGTATTAACTCCGTTAACGTTTGCCCCTAAATTTTAATAATAAACATATAAATATATGAAGAATACAAAAGAAAAAATTATGATGGGTATTTATTCAGCGTCAATTTGTGGACATGATGGGTTCATTAAGCTTAATACGGAAGGTGTTGCAATAGGATCTCCAGGTGCATCTGCTTGTGGGGGTTTGTTCCGCAACCCTTATGAATCTTGGCTCATGGGATTTTCATCTCGCATTGGAATCTACAATGTTCTTTGTTGAGTGTGAACTTGTTGGTTGCTTAGATGTTCTTTATTTAGTTCATCAAGATGAAATGCATTCGTTTTCTTGATTTCAACCCAAGTGCGCAAGTGCACGCATCAAGTAATAAATGAGATTATTAATGCCCAGATTATCGTTCCCACGAGGATAGAACTATAAATAATACCTTAAACTGTTTTACAAAGAATTAAATGAAAAGAAAAGATAGTATTCGAACTGTTTGGTTATTCATTCCCTATTATCTTGAAAACATTCCTCAAAGATAGTAAGTTCAGTCTGAATTCAAACAACTCCTTATATATCAAATCCTTCTTGATGTGAGAAGGAACGACAATATTCATTGGAGTTTTGGTTTTATAGTCATAAGATTTATGAAAGAAAATAACTATAATATAACAATATTTAAGAGACAACAATATGAATGGATAAAAACAGTTTTTAACACAAGGAACAAATCCATTGTTCCATTCTTAAATGGCTATATTCTCAACCTAAGACTTAACCCTTATGAATTTGTTCAGGTTTTTTCACTGCCAACTCTGATTCCTTAGCTCATGGACTTTAATGGCTCACAAGTTTCCATATTCCTATGGCTCCATTGACTCCAACAGTTACTAAGTTCAGAACCTTCAGTGAACGAGGTGGTTCTTTATTCCTAAGGCAACCAGTAGTGTTGTTTTCACAACACTACCTTCCTCCTCTGATTAATTTGTCTGAAATCCCTTCCTTATGGAAGTTCCTTTCTCAGTTTGAGTTCAATTTCCATTGATACACAGATAATAAAGCCCACTTAATCACATAAATACAAAAGCTTCAGTAAATTTTTTTTGAATATAGTTCTTTAAGAACTTCACAGCTTTTCCGTTCCAAAAATAACTTAGCCCATGGCTATAACTATAAACATAATTATTCCAAACTGAAGTCCCATAGACCCGAGATTCAGTTCAGAGATAACGATTGGAAGAGAAAAGAAATAACAACTTATATTAATAAGATACAATATTAGGTTACAAGAAAATAAAATGGAGAAGTATGGAGGTTGCTCATGAGGAGTCTCAAATGGAAGGTATAGAATGGAGGTAGAGTTGCTGTCACTTAACTATTGCTAGAAACTATACAACTGAAAAGTATAAATGAAACTATCCTAAGTGATCTTTTCTTAAGGAATTCGATGATTTCTTCGTGTTAGAACGTCTTATTTATAGGCTAGAAGAGTGGATGGCAGAGCTTGTAATTTCCTTTGAGTTATTTTCTTGACTGCATGAAAGGGGCGGTGTGAACAGTATTCTTTTGGGAGGCAAGTTATTGGATGGGACACTTATTGTTGAGATTTGTCTTTCCTTCTGCACTTCCCATGTTTGCTTTCCTCTTGCCCAATGGTAACTCTTTATTCTCTGCTATACACGTTTCTTCCTGCTTGATTGTTGTACCTCTTTATGCTATTTGGAAGTTTCTTTTTAACGTTTCCAGTAAAGTGGTCAGAGAGATTGAGTTAGTGGAGCAGGTGTATTTAATGAACCAATCTGTTCCCTTTTTTCCTGTATTTCTCAAATGATTACCTCATCATCCGTTTCTTACTGTGTTTTTGTTATAAAGATCTAAACATGTGTTTTTAATGCAAAAGTTGTTCACCAGATGAAGGAACAGATGAAATTTTACCATCAAAATGAGCTTAGATGGGAATGAATTTTCGTCCAATCAAATTTACATCAGAATTGTGGGGGTTTGGAATGGTCTTCATATTGCTTGGAAGAGAGGTTGGCGTCGTCTAATTCTTGAGAGTGATTCTACTTCGGTGGTCGCTTTGCTCACCAAATGTGGTGGTGCAACTCGAGAGTCTCGCTTTGTGACTCAAATACAGGCACTTCCTGATCGTGACTGGCAAGTTTCGGTTATACGTGCATTTAGAAAAGCCAACCATTGTGCTAATTTTTTAGCTAATCTTCCCCTCAATAATTTTGAATTACAAGAAGTTGTTATCTTTGACGAACCTCCTAGCTCGCTGAAACTTCTTCTCCAAGCAGACGTGATTGGCATTCCTTATCCTCGGAAAGAAAAGGGCTAATCTTTTATTTTATGTCTTTAGTTCTTTGCTATGTCTTTTATTCATTTTCATGTATAAAAAAAAGATAAACATAAAAGATCCTTATTTTTGGCAACTCACAAAAAACGCCCTTAAATTATGGTAACTCGTTAAAGAGCCACTGTATTCGAAACAACTGGGTAAAAGGCTTCTATCACCCCTTAAATTCGGGTAACTCATTAAAGAGCCTATATATTCAAAACTCAATATAAGGCTCCAATATTCAAATAAATTAACTACAATGAAGAACAAGATTAACGTGTTACATTCTCATTCAGACCACCTTGCTCTTCATCGGTGCAAACATATTGAAGTGTTCCTTGAATGCATAACGCACCTCAGTGTTAAAGGTTGTCTCCAAAAAACTCTCAATAGTAGCTGGATCAAAGGGAACCTATACACCTCTCACCTAGGATGTCCTATTCTGCCCTATAATCTCCTTATCAGCATTTGCACAAAACTCACGTAGTAAAATGCTAGAGCTGGCAATGGGAAATGAAACCAGTGTCTCCCATTTCCTCCTCCTTATGATTGCCAACATAGGGGAATCCTCAGGCAAATCAAGGCTAATTCTCCTTTCAGGAATTATAAGCTTTCGCAGAAACCATGCATTAAACCACTCTTGGCAGTTGGCAGAGCGGAATCTGGTATCATCAAAATTGGACCCTGAGTCCCTGCCTGAGGCCACCCTTACTCTATTTGTACCTAAGGTTGTGCCCTTTTTGGACTTAGAGACCCATTTCCCCTGAAAACCATAAAGTTACCAGCATGAACATAGGATAATTAGTAGCCAGTCCATATCTAAAACAAATTTGCATATATGGTATCAACATCATTGCCATAATTCTCAGATTTAGGTTTCCACACTTTGTCATAGCAATCCACAGCAAATGATGCAATGGAAACTCCCAAAATATTTGATGGTCATGTGCACAGTCTATTTGGCTCAACCTACTAATTCCCAGCATATGCAAATCAGATGGTGAATTTATACTAGTGCACATCAAGTAAATTATGCAAAAGACATGTCAATCATGCGCATCTAACTCAATCAGTGTCAAATACAAGTTAGCAAGTATCATAAAATAGCCATGGATATTAAGTGTTATGCATGCATAGAATTCAACATCATAACTGATGGGATGAAAATTCATTCTAATCTGAACTGATTTTATTTGCAAAAGCTCACTTGCTCCGCAATCTGGCATCCATTTTTAATATTAAAAGACGTTCCCAATCACTAAGAACGAAAATACTAGAAATGAAACAGATGCCAGTATAGCAACAGATGAAAGAGAGGAAAAAGGGAAATGATTTACTTATTCATGTACCTACTCTGCTAACCCTTACTCTATCCCACTACTTTGCAAGAAAAAGTCCAAAAAGAAGCATCCAAACGCAGAAGTGCATAGTAACCAAGCATCAAAAAAGCAAAATCCAACCCCAAGCCATCACTTCAAACAACTCTCATCAAATGTTAGGACAACACTTCACTGACTCTCCACACAAGCATGGAACAACTGGAGGAAATCACAAGTTTGCCACCACCCTACTCAACTATAAATAAGACAGTTGAAGACGAAGAAAGCATCTTGTTCCTTAAGAAAGAGACCCTAGATTACATAGTTTAAGTTTCTGTTTGTGATTTGTATAGTTTATGACAGTAGCTAAGTGACAACATTCTTCTCTCTCTTGTTCATCACCATTTGAGACTCCTCACGAGAAAATATCCATTTTCTCCATTTGTTGTTCTTACTGTTGTATTCAACTTGTGTTTTATTAATTTAAGTCTGTTATTTCTTTCTCTTCCAATCGTTCTCTTCGATCTGAATCTCGGGTTTATAGGATTTCAGATTGAGATAACTATGTTTGTATTTTCAGTCATAGGCTAAGTTATTTTGAAATGGAAAAGCTGTGAAGTTCTTAATGAATTGTTTTTAGAACTCTTGCACTGAACTTTTTGTATTTTTATGATTTAAGCGTTTTCAAATATTTGGTTATCAACAAAAATTGTACGCAACTGAGAAAGAAACTTCCTCAAGGAAAAGATTTCAGACAACTTAATCATAGGAGGAAGGTAAGATTGTGGAAGCAATCTTACTAGTTGCCTTAGGAATAAGGAACCACCTTGTTCCCTAAAGGTTCTGTACTTAGTAACTGTTGCAGTCAAGGGAGCCATAGAAACATGAAAACTTATGAGCCATTTAGTCCATGAGCTGAGGAATCAGAGTTGCCTGTGAAAAGACCTGAACAAATCCAGAAGGGTTAAGTCTTGAGTTGAAAACACATGTAGTTAAGAATGGAACAATGGATCTGTTTCTTTTGTTAAAATTGTTATTTGTTTATCATACCACCGTATTGTCTCTGAACTATTGTTAAACTTTAAATTCTACATTTATCATTTCAGCACCACAACACCAAACTTTCAATGATTTGTCGCTCATCATGAAATCAGGAAGGATTTCAATATATAATGATGCAAGGAGTTGTTTAGAGTCAATCTGCACCTTTTGTCTTTAAGGAAACACCCCTAATATATTAGGGAACGAAAGACCAGACAGTTCAAAACTGTTCTTCTATTCTTTCCAAATTCTTTAAGTTTAGTTCAAAACATTATTTAGAGTTACTATCTCTGTGGAAACGATAATCTGGGCACGAATAATCCCACTTAGACAAATGGGTCAATATCTTGAGAACGAATGAGTTTTCTCTTGATATACTAAGTAAAGGAACGTCCTACAAAGCATCCTAGCACCCAACTAGTTTTTGGCACCGTTTCGAGAATAATTTAGACAAAATTCTATTTTTGAATCTATTCTTCTTTACACTTTGTTAATATTATTCATTATTCTTCCTTTATTTGCTAAAATGTTGTTGACATTGTTTATAAATAATGGTTTGTAAGTGAAGATCTTGAAACTGTGTCCTATTCTGACACTGAGATACCTTTCTTTCTCTTTGATCCTGAACCTGAACGCATTTTTCATAGAAGAAGAAGAGATTTAAGGAGAAATAAGTCAGGACTAGAAATAGCTAATAACATTGACCATAATAATGAAGAGGTACCTCATGAACAAAATTTTAGAGCACCAGTTGCTCCCTTGAAGAACAGACCAGAAAGAGAAGTATCTTTACCTCCAGTAGAAGCTCTTAACTGCGAGCTTAAAACTATCATGTTCGATATGATTAGGGAGCTGGAATTTTCAATGGACTTCCCACATAAGATCCATATACTCACCTAAATATTTTTCAAGATATCTATGATAATTTTAGAGAAGAAGGTCTGTCTGAAGAGAGTATGAGAATGAGGTTGTTCCCTCATTGTCTGGGGACAAAAGCTAAGACCTGGATGAAATCACTTGCCCCTGGATCTATACACTCATGGGAGGAGCTTTCTAACAAGTTCATAGAAAGGTTTCTTCTCATATCTTGTGTAGCTTATGTACAAGCAGAAATATCAAGCTTCAGAATATTTTATGAAGAAAATCTCTGTGAAGCATGGGAAAGATACAAGGACATAATCAGGAAATGTCCTAATCATGGAGTAGAAAAGTAGGGAGTTCTCTAAACTTTCTACAAAGGTATAGTTTACACTTCTTAATCCCACTTAGATTTTGCTGCAGAAGGATATTTTTTTACAAGAACCCTTGAATCTTGTTATGAAATTATTGAAAGTGCTGCGAAACGATGTCTTCACTGGCCTTTGGAAAGAATTGGGAGGGGGGTTAAGGAAATTAGGGTGTTTTCTTTTACTTTTACCTTTTTAAAAAATTCAGAATTAAAATTAATTGTCCTAAAATTCCTTGCCGTAAAAGTGCCAGGTCTGCACGATTAGTGTGGCCAAACAAAAACCTTTATTATGGTTTCACACCTTTAACACGGCCAAACTGAAGAATTTAATCTTGTTTGGCGCGGAGTGCGCCACATTGGCGCTGTAAACGCGAGAAAATGGGGGAACTGTGGGGCTTACTAGATGGCGTTGAGAGAGCCAGGTCCGCGCGATTAGCATGCCAAACAAAAGCAATGGGATTTCATGGTGCTTCTAGCTCCAAGTTGGCGCCCTTATCGCAATAAAATAGAGCAATTTGCAAAATTTTGGTGCTGACAGCTCTTGATTCGCGCCTTTAGCATGGTAAAACAATGGTTTCCATGAGTCTGGTGCTAATGGCGCCATGATTAGATTTTAAAATTCTGAAAAAATTTCTTACCTGATGCGTGAGTTCTCTATAGATCAGTGCACACAACTACCATCTCTTAGCAAAATTAAAATTTAAAATACTTAAGACAAAGCAAAAATCTATTAGGTTGCCTCACATTAACGCTTGTTTTACGTCCTGAGCCTAACATGAATAGTCTAATTTTTAGGCGAAGCAAGAGGGACAGATCTATTGTCCCTGTGAACTTGTCCTCTATGGTGCAACATCAACTTGCATCCATTCACCTTGAATGGTTCATCATTATCAATTGGTGAAATCTCAACAACACCATAAGGGAATACTTTTTTAATTACAAAAAGTCCAGGCCAACGTGACTTAAGCTTACCTAGAAACAACCTCACACGAGAATTGTAAAGCAATACATGTTGTCCCGGCTCAAAGTCCTTTAAGGTCATCTTCTTATCATGCCACTTCTTTGTCTTTTCCTTGTAAATTCTTGCATTCTCATATGCTGCCAACCTAAATTCATTAAGCTTATATATTTGCAACAATGTTTTCTCCATCACTAATGATAACCCTTGGTACCCCAAATCTAGTGAAAATATTTTTTCCACAGTAATGACACTACCATTTTTGCATCATTTGTAGGTAGAGCAGCCGCTTCCACCCACTTTGACACATAATCTATAGCTACCAAGATATACTGATTGGAGTAGGACTTGGGGAAGGGTCCCATGAAATTTACGCCCCATACTTTAAACTCCAATATACTATTCAAAGGCATTTCATCTCTCCTTGAGATGTTCCCGGTCCTCTATCATCTAT